TGTGTGTGTGTGTGTGTGTGAGAGAGAGAGAGAGAGAGAGAGAGAAAGAGAGAGAGAGAGAGCGAGCGCGCTCGCACTGTGTAGCTGAAGCTGGTCTTGAACCCCTGATTCCACCTTCAAGTGCATGCACTAGCATACGGCGTTTATGCAGTGCTGGGGACAGAACCCACCCAGGGTTTCCTGCATGCTCTTTTTCAATGGAGCCTCACCCAGTCCTGGCTTTCTGACAGTGTTGGAATGTCCTTCCTGGGCCTTTCTTTTCCTAGAAACAATCCTGTCCAATGGTTTGATAAAGCATTTGAAGTTGAGCAGTGTAACAAAAGTCCAAAGGGAAGTGGAATTTTCTTTAAAAAAGTACAGGTTAGATTTTTTTCCTTTGGAAACATTCTCACTCTAGCTCTGGCTGGTACTGAGTCCACTCCAGCCTCCCACAAGTGCAGGTGTACCCCGCCAGAGGGGGCCAGGGTGGACTTGAAAAGTCTGTCTTGGAGCTGGGGCAGATGGAGGAGGCCCTGACTTGGAACCTCTGCAGCTTTTCTATGTGGAGGTCCGTTTTGTTCCCTTACGGCCATCATTGTCACCCTATCCCATCCTGTGCTCCCACCCTCAGTTCCAGAGAACAAACCGTGGCTAACTTTCAAAGGAGAGTTCAAGTAACCAACAGGGTGCCCCCAAATGAGGTGGGCTTGACTAACAGGAAGTTTCAGATCCACTCAAGGTGTCATGTGCAGTGTCCAAATTTGTCTTTAAGACCTGGCTTGTAGATCCACCTGTGTGACAGGCTGGGTCTTCTGCCTCGTCTTTTGAACCTCTACTTTCTTAATGGCAAAGTGAGACCTTGGAGCTACTAGGAGTATCTTTGAGGATAAGGATTACAGGGCTGGAGAGATGGTTCAGCAGTTGAGTTGCCAAGCACCCATGTCCAGTGGCCCACAACTGTCTGTAACTCTAGCTCTAGGGGATCCAATGTCCTGACCTCTACCTCTACACATGTGGCATGGACACACAGACACAGAAGAGTCTTTTAAAAGGCATAGGGACTACTAGGTGGTTAGAAAGCATTTCACATAATGTTGAATTGACAGCTGAATAGCCTAGGATTATCCCAGTCTCCCGAAACAGGCTAGCCTTCTGCATAGGGGCATGGCTTTTACTGGCCTGAGTTTCTACCATGAGTCTTACAGGGAGGGAATCTGTACCCATCTTCCTTAGCTTCATTAAAAGATTTATTGCATATACAGTGTATGTATGCCTGCAGGCAGAGGACACCAGATCTCAGTGTAGATGGTTGTGAGCCACCATGTGGTTGCTGGGAATTTAACTCAGGACCTCTGGAAGAGCAGCCAGTGCTCTTAACCCCTGAGCCATCTCTCCAGCCCAGTCTTTTATTAGAGAGATAAGCACCTGGTTACAGGTGTTTTGAGGGAGCAGCTGGCTGTTCAGCCAGTTTCAGCATTGTTGGGGCAGATTGTTGGAGTGGAAACTTGCTGGAGGAGGTTCAGCACCCCATGTTAGAAAAGAATCTATGAAGTCATACCATCTTCAAACTTTTTAAAATGGTGGGGTTGATGTGCTTGGAGGGGTGCTTAACAGTTAAGAACATTCACTGCTTTGGTGAAGGATTCAGGTTTAGTTCCCGGCACCCACTTGTCTCACAACTGAAGCTTGCTGGCCTCTGCAAGCACCAGGCACTGCATGTATGTGGTACACATACATGTGGGCAAAACAATAAAATCTAGTTTAAAATGTGGAGTACAGTGGTGCATGCATTTAATCCAAGCACTTGAGAGGTGGAGGCAGAAGCATCAGGGGTTCAGGACTAGCCTCAGCTACATAGTGAATTTGAGGCAAACCTGGGTGCATAAAACCCTGTTGCAAAAAGGTGGGGGGGGGGGCGTCTGGGAGGTGTTGGAGGAAGTCCAGGGTGAATAGGGTAAAAATACATTGTATACATGTACAGAATTCTAAAGTAATTTTTGTTTTGTTTTTTTTTTGAGACAACTTCTTTGTGTAGCCCTGACTGTCCTGGAACTAGCTGTATATACCTGGCTGGCTTTCCAACTCATGGAGATCTATCTGCCTGCCACTGCCTCCCAGTGCTGAAATTAAAAAAGCATGCATTAGGCTGGGCAGTGGTGGCGCATGCCTTTAATCCCAGTACTTGAGAGGCAGAGGCAGGTGGATCTTTTTAAGTTCAAGGCCAGCCTGGTCTACAGAGTGAGTTCCAGGAAAGGAGCAAAGCTACACAGAGAAACCTTGTCTTGAAGAAAAAAAAAAATGCACCAACACCTCACTGCGTGGCATAAAAATATTGTTAAAAGTTACCCAAAGGGCAGGAGAAACACACCTGCAGATGAACCTTTTAACTCAGTTTGTCTGAGTTGCCTGGCTTGGTGAAAATTCAGTCACAAAGTAAAGACTTACATTTTTGTTTTTGAGACAGGGTCCTTACTATGTAGCTTTGGCTGTCTTGGAATTTAGAAATCCGCTTGCTTCTACCTCCAGAATCTCGGGAGGCAGTGGCAGGAAGATCTCTGGGGTTAAAGGCGTGCACCACCATACTTGGCTCATTTGTTTTAAATGGCTTTTTCAAGTGAGATGCCGGGCTCTGTGTTGTGATGCTTCCACCACGATGGTTTAGGAGGCATGGACAGTTGGGTGTAGTGGCTCCCTCCTTTAATCCCAGCACTCGGGAGGCAGTGGCAGACAGAGTGAGATCCAGGACAGCCCGGGGCTACACACAGGAATCCCCTGTGAGGGGGAGGAGCAGTCATTAAATAGGGAAGAACAGCCATCAAGAGGGCTCGCTCATCTGCATTTATAGGTTGGTAAATCAATGTGAGAGTCGCCATGAACTTTGTGAAATATACAAAACCAGGTGTATGTGTTAACGTTTGACGTTTTCTCTAGAAGGAACTGGAAGTTTTTAATTCTACTGGAGACCTTGGCTGCAGAGAAAAAGCAGTGGACTCAGATTGAAATCAACGCTACTGTTTCAAACCAACTCTGGTTTATGATTCCATCTCTTTGAGAGCCCATCTCATGCCCACAGTTGTCTTTAAGGGGTCCTTTCTTGAACTGGGAGCCTCATGATCTGGGAATTGGGGTCCCAGTGGGCTCCTGTCCACCTTCAACCTGGACAAGCAAGGGAGACAGTCTGCATGCAGCATGTGGAGCAGGTCCCACACTGCAAGGATCTCGGGGGAGGTCCGGGGGAGCGGGATACTGAAACTACACAGGAGTGGCGGCCAAGTAAGAAACGCAGGGCCATCCTGGGTACCTCCCTGGACACTATGCAAATGAGCTGGGTCGAACCCCGCCCCTGCTCGCGTCCCGGAAGCTTGTTTCCGGGACTGGCACCCTCTGCGTTGCTGCTCTGCTCGGCGGAGACCCCGCGTGCGGCCATGGCGGTGCGGCGGCGGCCAGTGCGCGTGCTGGTGGACATGGACGGCGTGCTGGCCGACTTCGAGTCTGGCCTCCTGCAGGGCTTCCGCCGCCGCTTCCCCGGGGACCCGCACGTGCCGCTGGAGCAGCGCCGCGGTTTCCTCGCCAGCGAGCAGTACCGAGCCCTGCGGCCGGACCTAGAGGTAGGAGGCCGACGGAGAACCTTGATTCCCCTCCCTGGGCAGGGCCGTCTGGGTTCTACTCCAGTCACCCCAGCTTCTGAATCCACAGTTCACCCGACTAGAAAGCTTGAGAGCGCTCACCCACCTCCAGCATTTTATCCCGGGTGGACTCGGGCTGCTTAGTGTGGGTCCTCTCTGGGGCTCCCCCTGCTGTAAGACGGGAGCGGGATGAGGTCTGTCTCTTTCAGGAGAAACTGGCCAGTGTGTATGAAGCTCCAGGCTTTTTCCTAAACTTGGAGCCCGTCCCTGGGGCCGTGGACGCTTTGCGAGAGATGAACGCCTTGCAAGAGTAAGGAGGGGAGGAGGGGGCGGCGGGAGGTCAGCCCGCTCCCCAGGCCTAATTGCCCCCTCTCTCTGCAGCACCGAGGTCTTCATCTGCACCAGCCCACTGCGGAAGTACGACCACTGTGTGGGCGAGAAGGTGCCGGCGCCTGCGCAGATCTAGCTTTCCAAATTTGGTTTTTAAAAATAAACCACAGAAAGTGGGGGTTGGGGGGGAGGAGTACCACACTTTTCAGGCTTAGTCCCACTTAACCCAACGCCTCACTGACCCTGCATTTAGAGTCTAGCAAGCCCACTCACTGGCCGATCTGCATTTTTCCCCCCTTTACAGTATCGTTGGGTAGAGCAGAACCTGGGGCCTGAGTTTGTGGAGCGGATTATCCTGACCAGGGACAAGACAGTCGTCATGGGGGACCTGCTCATTGATGACAAAGACACCATTCAAGGTTGGGCCAGTTAATTTTGACAACCTCCAGGCACCTGGCCTGTTGTTGGGATTAGGGAGAGGAATAAAAATAACCAGATTACAGGCTGCATGCTGTGCCTTTCCTGCCGCAGGCCTCGAGGAGACCCCAAGCTGGGAGCACATCTTGTTCACCTGCTGCCACAATCAGCACCTGGCCCTGCCCCCCACCAGGAGACGGCTGCTTTCCTGGAGTGATAACTGGAGGGGCATCATAGATAGCAAGCGAACCGTCCTGTGAAGGACCCTGAGGTGTGTCTACCGGAGCAGCCTGCACGCACAAATGACTTTCTCCAGGCTGGGAGCCACTGTAACCTCCACTTGAACAAACTCCGCCATCTGGCCCTTCTCAAGATGGCTGCACCCAGAAGGAGCAGGGTTGGCACAGAAATACAACGGGAAAATCAGGAGATTTTTTTTAATAAAAATAAAAACCAATAACGAGGCTTTGGTTTTCTGAAGACCCTTCTCTTAGGAGAGGAGAGGGCCCGTGCGGGGGGGGGGGGGGGGGGGGGGGGGGGGGGGGGGGGGGGGGAGGCGGAGCGGGGTGGTTCTGATAAAGAGGCCTCTTCCTTCCCTCATCTAGTGGCTGTACAGACAGCCCCAGTGCCACACCCTTGAATATCTCCTTTCTCTAACACAGCTTTTAGTTGCCCATCTAGTGGGGACCCCCATTTTTCCTGAACCCCAACTCATCAGGCCCACCCTCTTTTCACTTTCCCCCCAGCTTCATTTTTCTTTCACTGGCACAGGAGGGAGGGAGGGAGGGAGTCACCAGTCACAGGATCTGGCTGTCCTGACATTATTGGGACCCTGCTTCTTCCTTTTGTGACAGGCCATAGCCCAAGTTGGCCAAGGACTCACCAGGTGGGCTAGTCTCAAACTTATGACCACCCCCCATTTCTCAAGTGACTGGATTGCAGGTTCGAGCCACTATGCTCCTCCGGCATCTAGTTCTAGGTGTCTTTATTGAAGATCTATCTGTCAGTCCTAATGGGTTGACAGCTGCCCTGGGAGCCAGTGGTTCCTGGAGAATGGCGGGAAGCAGATCTGGATAGCCATGAAGGGTTCGTTCATATCCAGGGCTCCTACTCCAGTGTCAGAAGATCTGATCACAGGCAGAGGGGCCAGAGCAACTTTTCTGAAGGGACAGGGATGCCACAGTTGGCAGCTGGTACATGAGGGGTCCACAGCCTGGTCACCGGAGGAGCTGAAGTCGCTGTCTTTCTGACCATGTCCTAGGATCTATGTAGTAGGGCCTCTCCAAAGGGACAAGGTATGCACCTCCACCCCTGGTCCCGTCTTTATTCTGTGCTTAACTCCTAATGCCTGATGGCCTCTGGTTACTAGTCCTTCAGGTGACACCCAAGGGCAGAGACTTCATCTCTGCATTCTTCACACGGTGCCTAACAGGCAGGGGTGTGTGGACATTTGTTTCTGGGCTACAGAGCTGTCCAAGTCAATGTCTGCCGTGCCCAAATGCCCAGCCTCAGTGCTAGAGGAGTTACCCACAGTACCTTCCCAGCTAATAAGGCCAACTGATCTCTAGCCATTGACGTCACTCTGGACACTCATGTTACTGGCTACTCTCACAAGTCTTGGTCCAGCAGCTGCTCATGAGTACACCCTATGCGGGGCCTTTCACGTGAGGGTGTTAGCTGGGCACTGGGGCACCAGAGCTGTCTGCAGTTGTTGGCAGTGCCAGCCCTCGAAGGCCACACCAACTTTGGTTTTTCTCCTCTAAGCATCTCAGGTCTGGCTTCTTCATCCTACGGCTTCTCCTAGCCATAAATACCTGCCATACTCAGAGACTGTACCTTGCATACAGCTGACCAGGCATCCCTTGGCCAGGATGGGCTCAAGGTGCTTTCTATGCCTATGACAGAACTAATCTCAGACAGAAAGTGACAGGGTCTTGCGGTCTCCTTGGATCAGGGCTGTTGTGGGGCCTCAGTCTTTGGCAGTGGGATACCCAGGGCTGAATGGGCCTGCTGGCTGCGGGCCTCAGCCACCTGGCTTGGGGAGCAGAAGTCTTCTAGGAAGATCTGGGCCAGGTTCCGGAGCCTTGTGTTGGCTGAGAGAGAAAAGCGCAGCATGCACTGGACCACAGGCAAGGAGGTGAGCTCGGGATGGGGGTTGGTGCCGGGTGAACTCAAGTACATGAGTGTGGTGACAGCAGATAGCACCGTCTCCTCGTTAGGACTGGATAGGCAGTTGGTGATGAGCGGGATGCCTCCGGCCTGCAGGATGTGCTCCTTGTTGGCCTTGTCCGGGCACAGGTTACAGAGGCCCCCTGGAGAAAGGCAAGGATGAGCGGGGTGCTGTGGTTCTGGCTTCCTCTCATCTCTCCTTCTTTCTGGCTAGTGAGTCTTGGGGAAATGCCCAGGCCTGGGGAAAAGTCTGTCTATGGACAAGGACTGCAAAGTCACCACGCCCCAGTCTTCTCTCAAGACTTGAGGAAGTCCAGCCTGCCACTATTATCCCCAAGTCAAGTGGACACAACACCATGCCTCACTGTTACTAGAATTCTGGAGAGTCAGAAAGTCCAGAGTGAGAGACCAGTGACTCTAGATTAAAAAAAACTCTCGGGGGAGGGACTGGGAGGAGGAATTGCAGCCAGTATGTAAAATAAATAAAGACATTTATTTAAAAGAGAAAAAGACTGTCAAGAGATGCTCAGAGGTTAAGAGTGCTTACTGTTCTTCCAGAGGACCTCGGTGCAGTTCCTAGCACCTACATGGTGGCTCACAATGACCTGTGACTTCAATTCCTGGGGCTCCAATGCCCGCTTGTCTCTATGGATACAGGCATGCATGTAGTGCATGTATATCCATACACATAAACACGGACATAAAGACCCAAACTTGCATGGGCACAGGTCCCTTCTTCCATTTTCAGGTTAGGCCCCCTTTGGCCTTGGGGACAGATGCTACCTTTTCTAGAGGCACACTTTGCTTTAACTCTGGCTCCTCAATGCAGGAATCTGACTTCCTGTTCTCACTAACTCAGCTTCTGGCCATCAGGGCTCTATGCCCCTCTGCCTAGCTGGCAGCATCTCTTGAAGATGAGAAGAGAGTGAGGGCCTCAAAGAAACCCTGTCTCAAAAAACCAAAAAAAAAAAAAAAAAAAAAAAAAGAATAAAAACAAACAACATAAGGACTGGCCAGGAGGAGGTGGGACACACACCAGCACTTGGGAGGCAGAGGTAGGCAGATCTCTGTGAGTTCAAGACTAGATGGTCTGGAGAGCAAGTTCCAGGACAGCCCCTCTCTCCAAAAAAATGGTGTAAGCAGCCTGTGTTCCCAAAAATTGGAGCAGAGGCTCTGCCTGGGATTCCCCTCTCCAAACTTCTTGGGCTAGAGAGATGGCTCAGCAGTTAAGAACACTGACTGGGCCAGGCGGTGGTGGCACACGCCTTTAATCCCAGCACCCAGGAGGCAGAGGCAGGGGGATCTCTGTGAGTTCGAGGCCAGCCTGGTCTATAGAGCGAGATCCAGGAAAGGCGCAAATCTACACAGAGAAACCCTGTCTCGAAAAACCAAAATATATAAATGAATAAATAGATAAAAATAAATAAATAAATAAATAAAAATAAAACAAAAAACAAAGACTGGAGAGAAAGCTCAACAGTTAAGATCACATACTGCTCTTGCCGAAGACCTGGGTTCAGTTCCCAGCACCCCATAAAGCGGTTCACAACCACTTCTAACTACAGCTCCATGTTACCTGATGTTCATGATGTCCTCTTCTGGCCTCCAATGGCACCTGTGCCCACATGGACCTATTCATACCTCCACCCCTGCCACATACATACACATACATGAAATAAAAATTTTTTAAATCTTAAAAATAAAATAAAAAATACAAATGTTGGGGTTGGGGAGATGGTACTTGCCATGCAAGATGAGGCCCTGAGTTTGATCCCTAACACCTACATAAAAAGTCAGACATGATTGTGGGGGTCTGTAGCCTCTTTATGGGGGAGGGGAAAAGACAGGAGAGAGAGAGTGTGTGTGTGTTTTTGGTGAACTTCAGATTTAGTGAGAGACTCTGTCTCCAAAAACCACAGTGGAGAGCCACAGAGGAAGAACCACCTCTGGCCTCCACAATCATGAACACACACACATAGAAAGAATTAATTTGTGTGTGTGTGTGTATGTGTGTGTGAGAGGGGGAGGGAGGGAGAGGAAGAGGGAGAGGGAGAGGGAGAGGGAGAGGGAGAGAGAGACTCACATTACAGCTCTGGCTGGTCTGGAACTTGCTATGTAGACCAAGCTGGCATTGAACTCACAGAGAGTAATCTGCCTTTGCCTCCCAAATGCTGGCATTTAAGTCCTGTGCTATCATGCCTCCCTACAACCCTTTACATTTTTTAATTTTATTTTATTTTATTTTTTTGGTTTTTTGAGACAGGGTTTCTCTGTGTAGTTTTGCGCCTTTCCTGGAACTCACTTTGTGGACCAGGCTGTCCTCGAACTCACAGAGATCTGCCTGCTTCTGCCTCCCGAGTGCTGGGATTAAAGGTGTGCGCCACCACCGCATGGCTACATTTTTTTTTTTTTTTAAAGAAACCAGATTTAGGGGCTGGAGAGATGGCTCAGCGGTAAGAGCACTGGCTGCTCTTCAACAGGACCCAGGTTCAATTCCCAATACCCACATGGCAGTTCACACCTGTCTGTAACTCCTATTCCAGGGGATATGACTCCCTCACATAGACATCCAGGCAGAATACCAATGTACATAAAATAAAAATAAACAAAAATTAAAAAAAAAAAAGAAAAAAAAGAAACCAGCTTTAGGATGGATCTCGAATGATCTCACAAGACCAAGACCAAGTAACAGTAACCCATGGGGACAGAGGTCAGAGCTGTGCAGCCTGCATGGGGCACATGGAGAAACAAGCCACATCTTGATGGAGAAGCCATTACATGGAAGAGCACATACTTTAATGAATTTAAGGATTAATTAAACTGCCACTTATGTGCATTTTACTGTACATTCATCCTATGTATGTACAAGATAGTTACAAAACAAGAAAGAGTGGACTGGGGTGTGCCTTGGTGGTGGAGGGCTTGCCTAAGTCCCTGGGTTCACTCTCAGCACCACCAAAATGAAACAGAGAAAGCAAGTCCTGACTAGCCAAAGAATCTGCTTTGGACAGACAAAGACAGGGGGAAAAAAAACAGCTAGATGCAGGAGGCAAAGACTCTGCTGGACACCAGTAACCATAGAAACCCCTGAGAGGCGGGAGAGGAAATCCCAAGTATAACTTGAAATGGGAGAGCTGGATTTGGAGAAGTAGACGAACTGGAGCCACAACGCAGGCACTGGTGCTGGGAAGGGCTCTCAAAGGACTGTCCTGGGGTTAAAAGAGCGCCGGGCACCTGCTGACTGGGTGAGCTCTCCTTGACGAGGTCCAAGACGTTACCTCAACTTAAGGATCTGACTACACCAGGGCACAAGGCTGACCTGGCCTGTGGTCAAATCTTCCTCAGGTGGCAAACCCTCATGGTCCTAGCTACTAGGGCAGCTGAGGAGGGAGGAGCACTTGAGCTCAGGAGCCCATGGGCAGCCTGGACAATATAGTAAGACCTTCCTTCACTCAAAAAATATAAGACCAGGTCAGGAGATGCAGGTAAAGGTACTCGAGCCTGCCTGGGTGGGACCTGAGCCCAACCAACCACAGGAACCCACAGAAAGGTGGCAGAGAAACTGACTCCATAAGGTTGTCCTCTGACCCTCACATGCACACAATGGTATGTATGTGCATCCCTTACACACCACACACACAATAATAGTACAACAGAGTTTAAAAAATAAACAGCAAGCTTCCCTGGGGACTAGTCTGTTCTAGGGCTTTACTTCAGCACCTGTGAGTGAAAGGAAACTACACATGCGTGTATATACTCACAGCCATGAAACACTTAGGTGTGAACAACACGGAAACCGGCTGGCTGTAGGAGACAGGAATCGGTATGAGGGCAGAAGTGGGGTGAGGCTTCTCTGAAAGTACCTTGTGATATTAGTTTTCTTTTCCTTCCTTCCTTTAAACAGATAGGGTCTCTCGATGTAGCCCATACTGTTCCTGAACTCACGGTCCTCTTGACTCTGTCACTCAAGTGCTAGAATTACAGGTGTGCATAACCACTCCTGGTGTATGACACTGCTTTTTTTTTTCCATTATATTGGTCAGACTGGCAAGATATTGCAGATCAAGGATATATACCAAAATATATAACTATATTTAAAACAAATCTAAAGTAGGGTGTGGTGGCTCACACTTACAATTCCAGTACTTGGGAGGCTGAGGCAGGATGTTGCCCCAAGTTCAAGGACAGCCTGGACTACATAGTGAATTGCAAGCTATCCTGGGTTATTGATTTTGACTCTGTCTTAAATAACACAAGCATACATACGTAGATACAGGCTACCTCATGCATAGATTATACAAAAATTATACACAGATACTTACATATGGATTTATAAATCCAGAAAATATCTCTGGAGAATATACTAGAAGCTAGCTGTAGGAAGCATTACCAAAGGGGCTGGAGACTATGGAGCAGATTGGAGTGCCTGGCAGACACACAGGAGGCCTTGGAGTGCACACCCTAGCACAGTAGCAACAACCACAGGAAGGAGGGACAGGCCTGGTGACACAAACCCTTAATCCCAGCACCTGGGAAGAAGAGGCATGCATCTCTGAGTCTGAGGTTAGCCCAGTCTACATAGCATGTCCAGGCCTGCTAGTAAGACGTTATCTAAAAACAAACAAACAGCAAACAAACGAACAAAAAAGGGAAAGAAAGGGTGGTACACTATGATGTATATATGCATGCACATGACAAGGCATTCCTATGGAGCCCTGGAGGATCTGGAACTCTCCATGTAGACTAGGCTAACACTGGACTTCTGGAGATCTTCCTGCCTTTGTCTCCCGGTCATGGGATTACAGTCCTGTACCACCATGTTGGGATCTCACTCTTGAATTCTGTAAATTCTATATCATGCTGGCCAGTTGTTTGTCGCATAAATAAGACACCTACAACTGCTTATGCCTAGAACAAGCCTGCTTGGTCTCATACTAGAGGGCTCAGAAGATCTTCTGGTCCAGGACACCCAAGTAGCTGGGACTGTGTGTACATGCCACCATACTGATTGTACTTTACATGAAAAGAAAAAGACAACTCTTTCAAATGCCAAAGACATCTAATCAAATCAAAAGAAATACACTGTTGCTTTCCAAAGAAGCTGCAGACTTAGCCTTTGAGCACTACTACCACCTGGTGGCAT